ATCTTTTAAAATGCTCAAAATTATTCTTTAAAAAAAAAAACTAATTACAGCAGTATAAGAGACAATTACAGCATATTTTAGCATATTATGACACTTTTCAATCAGCACCGCGTGATCTTAATGAGGGTCAAAGTGCGGCGGATCACCTAACTCGTCCTCAGTGACGAGTTCAAATCTAGTTTTTAATTAAGTCTGTGACCCATACCACTTTTCAGTAAATTGGTTAATTCAACACGGAATGACCCATTATCCTAATATTACTCATGTCCTGTTGACTGGTTTCCAAATGCTTATTGAAACAAACGTACGTTCAGGCTTTCATTACTATATCCTTTAAAAAGAAAAACTACAGTATTTCATTCAGTTACAACATGTATTCATTCCTGTAGCCCATGGTCCAGAAGTGTGTCCGACAAGGTTGTATTTAGTCCCCTGATTTATTTAATATTTATAGTGAGAAAGCTCTAAGCAAGATCAAGACATGCATAGGGTTACAACTAGGTGGGATAAATTACAACAATTTGAGGTATGCAGACGATACAACTTTAATGTCGGAAGAGAAACTTCAAGAACTTGTTAACATCGTGTCGGGAGAAAGTGAAAAATTGGGATTAGCGTTAAACTGCCAGAAGACCTTCTCTATGGTTTGTACAAAGAAAACGCAGGTTCCACTTTGTCGCTTGAAAGTGAAGGGAAACAGCATAAAACAGAAGGACTGTTTTAAATACTTGGGAAGTTGGATTTCGTCTGATGGACGATCGAATAAGGATATCCAGTATAGGATTTGTGTAGCAAAGCAAACATTTAAGGATATGAAGAACCTTTTTTGTGCGGGGAGAATTGGAATGAAAGTGAAGAAAAGATTGCTGAAATGCTATATCTGGTCAGTGCTTACGTATGGATGTGAATCCTGGACAATAAACAAGGCAATGGAAAAGAAATTAAAAGCTTTGGAAATGTGGTTCTACAGAAGAATGTTGAAGATCTCGTGGGAAAAGAAAATGACAAATGGAGAAGTGTTGCAAAAAGCGAAAACAGAAAGGCAGTTGATGAACACCATAAGAGAAAGACAATGGAGATTTGTTGGACATATTCTAAGAGAAGAAGGTGGAATTGAAAGACATATCATCGAGATGGAATTGAAGGGGAAAAGGGCGAGAGGAAGGCAAAGGATGAAGCTGAATCTGAAGAATGATGTAGAGCTTGGGAATATTGCGAGAGATAGAAAGAGATGGAAAAAGACAGGACAGACACTGACAGACAATCCATGAACGCCTACGGCATAAGATGCTATGGTACATGAAGAAGAAGCCCATGGTCAGTGTTCTCTCGCAGCTGTTTTAGCCATTAATTTTACCAGTAAATGTAACTGGACAGCCAGTAAAAATTTTGAGATTTTAAAATAATAAATCCACTGATTAGGCCTAGGTAATCAGGCTGACCTTCTTTCAATACATGAACATCATTTGAGTTTATACCTAGGCTATAGAGTACCGCAGTCGTGTCGTCACAACACCAGGTGGCGCCCTCTGGACGTTGGTTACCATTCGTTACGCCTAAATGACTTCTTAATCTTAATGGTTTAGAATAGGCTTTCTGGAATAGGCATTTTAAACCTAATAAATAACCATCAATATGTGCTAAAAACACAAAAAGGTGGCATTACATTATCGAACACACATTTAATCACTACCATCTGTAAATTCGTATAGGATCTGTGTGTAAATAATACCTTGCATTTTTAACTTATATATTTTTAACTTCATGGGTTATACACCGAGCTTTGGAAGGTCATTTACCTTAAGGTCATTTGCCTTAATTCAAGTGACCACACATCATTTGGGAATGTTGATGAGTTTCCCAGGTACTAGACAAGGACAGGCAATTACTAATCCTTATTGGTCAGATGGTATGAAAGGTGATGATATATCACATACATTTGTACTTTTACAGACACTCCTCAGTTTGTCCTCCCTGAGTACACATTACTTTCGCTTTCTATCCATTTGTATATATCATCAACAATTGTTTCCCAAGTGTTTTTGTAAATACGCTTTTCACTTGGAATAAATTGTACAGTTCTACATATAAATTAGTGTGGTGTATTTTTATCATCTCATCGTACACTTACACTAAACATCAATTAACATTTACAAAGAAAAATAATAAGATACAACTTCTTAATAATTACGTTGGAAATTGGGATCAATTGTTTGTGAATAAAGAATATGGCATCGGTTGAACGCATTTTGTGTCACTGATATCAACGGAGTAGTATCACATGGTATCGTGACGCAACACTGTACTCTATGGCTATATGTGGTGTTGTTTTTTCAAGTCATTAATCCCCACTCAAAAAGGATAACATCTCACACTGCGTGCATATCTGAATTTTTATGGACAAATTTACCAGTAAAAATGTTTCAATTGGGAGAACACTGCATGGTCATAATGAAAGTAATGTCATCTATAACAAAACATTATTAATAGCAGCATTGTTTAATAGGAACAAAGGCAATATTGTATTTTTTTTTTCAACTTATTCTTCAATCTTGTTAAATTCAGTTTAGGTATTAAATGGTCATATTAAAATAATAAAACTAAAATATATTGTTATTACAGTTTCAACTTGTTAATGACATTAATAATGAAGAGGAGGAAAGTGAAGATATTGACGGAAAAATCGAAGAAGATAATAGTAACATGAGACGACATGGACAAGGAAAGCACATGAAAAGGCTTGAAGATGTACAGGAAGACGAGGAAATTGAAGAAGACGATGACGATGTTTGTTTTGACGTTTTTGCTGAAAGGTGGGTTGTAATATATGATGTTCTTTTTTCTTCTGGCTTTTGAGTTGTTTGTAGGTGGAAAAAGGAACATCATATGGTACAACCCATCTTTCAGCAAAAACGTCAAAACAAACATCGGTAGAACCTTCCTTAACCTGGTCAAAAAGCACTTCCACAAAGACAGCACCTTGCACAATTTGTTCAACAAGAACAACGTAAAAGTTAGCTACAGTTGCACAAGAAACATGGGCAGCACCATCAAAGCCCACAACAACCACCTTCTCCACACATGTACCAACCAAACTATACAACTGTCGGATTAAAGAAGATTGCCCACTCTCGGGAAACTGCCTCACCTCCTAAATTACTGTATTTATAAAGCTCCAATCACAACAAACGAAGAATCAAAGCATTACATCGGGCTCACAGATACCGCATCTAAATCCCGATATACAAATCAAAAGCACACATTCAATGCACCAAAACACAGAAACAGCACAGAACTTTCAAAGTTCATATGGAAACAGCAAAACACAATACAATATCAAATGGTCCATTATTGATAGAGGCCTCATCCTACTCACCCAAAACAAAGCGATGCAATCTATGCAACGCAGAAAAGTTTCATATAATTTATGCAGACAATCTACTTTGAACAAAAGGCACGAACCCCTTTCAAAATGCAGACACCGTGCCAAATTCCTACTCAAAAACACATAATACCTAATTTGCAGCTACACCGGCCCAACTCTACATATACATGTCAAATTTGAAATTCCCTTCACTCCTGAAGATTGCCAAGTGCATGAAACAGCCTGTAGAGTGAAATTAATTTAGTTCCTTATTATTAGTATTATTATATATATATGCATATATGTATATTATATATATAATTTTATATATATATATGCATATATGTATATATTATATATATATATTTTATATATATAAAATAAATTAAAACGGAACAGTACACACACAGGTGTTTAGAATAAAAGAAAAGCATTAATTTTTTAATTGTTTTTCTTTTTTTTTTTTTAAATAGTATTATGGGTTACTATGCACTATTGTTAAGCATTATAAAGTTAGGTACAGGAGTTGTCGGCGACTCGCAGGAAAAGTCTAGTACAATTAAGACTGTGGAATGTGTTTTAATACCCTACCCAAAGCAATCGCATAACGAGGTAGTATCCGTTATATAGACATGTAGGAAGAATGAACATTTTTCAACAACACTGTCTTTATAATTTTTGACAATCGTCATCAGTAACATCCGCGGTTACATTCGATTAGCAAACGGCTTCCTTGATGGTTTTCAAGCGGGAAAATGCTATCATCATGTCTTCACTAAAAATAATCCTTAAAATCTTTTCAAGCAGAATGTTGTGTACAGAATACTGTATTAAACTTTTCAAAGCACAATATCAAGGAGGGAATTTTGAAAAAGGGTACATCAACGCTAAACTCGAATTTTTAATGAAGAACCTCGCAAATGAATAAGAAATATAATTACAAACCGTACTTACTTTATTTTTAAAAGAAGAAATAACAATGTAACAGTAAGGCGAAAATGTTGGTTTGATGTCATTTGTAGGCATATCGTGTTTTTTTTTAAATTTTTTTTTTTTACATTAGTTGATGATGATAGCGGGGGTGATGAAGATGATGATGATAATGAATATGATAGATGATTATGCTCAGTGAAAAAAATCACCTTTCGTGCAGCGCTTATTCGAGAGCAACGCTTATTTGGGGATTTACGGTAAGTTTAAAATGTTTTAAACGACCACAACTATACAACTTTTGTATCTGTTTTAATATCAAATATGACAACAAACATATTTTACATTTAGGGCCTACCGTTAATATTATTTTATATACTAGTCACTACCAAATATGAAATACATTTGTAGATTTCTATAGGCCTACAATACATCATGACAACATACAGTATACATTACAGAACTGGCATTTCAGTGATGAGACAAAAGCTATGAAAAATGCATTGCATCACCAACACACTGATGTACACAAGTTCATGTTCTAAAGACATTTTTACTAATTCTTATTCAAACCAAGGTATTTATATTAATATAAAGTAGCTATTTATATGGAGTGATAAAAGAAATCAAGTTTTGTTCCCTGAAAGACTCTTAAACTCTTGATATTAATAAAATAAACATTGATAATTTTGGTCATTTATATAGCCTTTTATTTCACAAAGCACATAATTACCCTACAGTCATTGAATATTAGAACCAATCTTTTACAATGTACAACCTTCATCACATTCCATGGAAACAGTGGTGGCACCGGCTATTGGGCTAGCCGACGCCAGTCGCGAGGGACAATTGCCCAACCGTTGGACAATCATCATAAAATCTGTCAGGGGTAAAAATAATTAGAATAATTTTCTAAGCCAGAGACAAGTCGCCTCAAAATGCTATTTGCCAGCATCTAGAGGTAATGTAATCTGAATTTCTTTTTTCATAGCCCCAAACCATGTGGAACTGAGATGTGTGCGATTCATCTGTCTGGAAACAATGGACCACCTGTCGGGATAACGCTGACGCCACCAGTGTCCATGGAAAATATTCTTGGCGTTACTTGTTATACAGCACTACCAAATTTGCATTCTAAATTATTCCCCCTTACCCAAGTACCCATTTATACTCTAGTATGAAGGAGGAAAATGCAGATAAAGGAACTGCAAGCCTGTGACCAATTGAAACTTATATACAGTATATGTATTATGATTGTCACAGACACATTTACATAGTACGGTATAAATATTAGATTGTAGCTCACACACCAAAATCAATTTTATTTAATACATTTCACTTAGGGAAAACAAACACTAATGGAATTTAAAGCGGAATGTATAATATACCAAACAAGATAGGTAAACATACAGTAGTTCAACTTATTTCTTTAATTTTTCTTTAAAATTTCTTTAGAATAAAAGCAAGTGATAAACTTTTTACATGATTTCTATATTCTTTATCACCACAAAAAAAAAAGAAATCTCTGTACCAAAGCTTAACACAATTCTATTTTAAAAAAAATACCAAAACCAATTATGTTTGAAATTAACATAGTTATTTAATTCTGCTAAGTTTTACTGAATTTTAATGGATATCTATTTTTAGAAAACCAGTTTTCATTTCATTTCTAAATGACAGGATCGCTTTGTGGAGACCAGAGTATAAGTAATTGGAAGTACCAGGAGATAATGCCATAACTTTGTGGTAATATTCCCAACTCGCATTCAGATATACCTCAAATATCCAACAAATTCAAAAATAATATTTTGAAAATAGTATTCTGCTTTATCCATAAAAAAATATTCTGTGACATTATGATACTTTGTGATACCTAAAGAAATAAGCTGTATTCCTTATCAAATTACATTTTTTACGACTTGAAAAAATAATGATACGAAAATATCCAAGCACCATCATATACCAATAACAACAGAATAGTAGTCCTATATTTATTTGTACTTTACAATATTCACAGAAAACATGTATCTTACAAATTTTAAAGGTTTCTTCTTATTCTCGCATGATCATATGATTTGTGAAAGTCAGCGGAAAACTTCCACTGCAAGCGACTAGACTTATATCACTTGTCTTCAAGATTCCGGCATTTTCTCTTCTAATTCTATTAACATTAGGCCGTGTTTTAGTCCTCAGAAAGCCTGCGTTGCCGACTTTGTGAACGCCCACCAACGGATCATGTCCACTTAGTGTTATCAAGTCACCATGCCTATTACTAATGAACGTGCCACTGCGCATAATCAGTTCTGGTGAGAGGCAGGCACCGTCGCGGTCCTGCTCTGGTGACACCGGTGTGACAACACTGTCCCTTCTGCATGGGCACGTCCTCACGGCATCCTCATCCAGGTCCAATTTGAGACCGTTACCACTACCACACAAGCTGCAGGTATGACCCCAAGCGCCACTTATTGTGCTGCTTGTGCCTAAGATGAAATGTGCGATTGAATGTGGTTAGAACATTACCATGCAAAACGAATATGATTTGACTAATGGTGCATGAAGAAACAGTATTTCCTAAAAGTCATTTTAATTTACACAGGCGTAATAATTCAATGAGTGCTTCCCAGCAACAACTTCAATAAATTTAACTTTAAATTAAAATCATGCAGTGAGTGAAACTTACTGTATTGGACAAAAAGTATAAAAAAGGCGCAATTAAGAAAGTGGCAAGCATTGACATTTCCACATGATCAAATGATAGCTACTCTAAGTGATTCAATATTAATAAAACTCTAAAGATGGTCAGCAGGTGCAAAAAAAAGCTGTATTTACAAAGCAACTGAAAAAATTCACTCTCTTGTTATGTGCAGACTTGGATATGGACACAACATGCAACATTGTAAAATAGAACAGAAGTTGTAGATAAATATTTTATAGAAGTATATAATTTTAACAAATATAATGTAAATGAGTTCCACTAAGTTCTGCATTTGAATTGTTCACAAAAATACCATATGATCATGTAGAACTGCCATTTAAACAAATAGAAATTAACAAACATTACATGCTATTTGGTGTACCTAATCAAGATATACTGTTGCCTGGACATAGTGGCTATAATAATTAAAATCCAGATAGTCTGAAAATCATTTGAAAAATTTACAATCTGTGCCTTTTATTGAAAATTTATAACTCCTGTTATTATTTTTAAAGAGAAATTACACTTTTTATTAGTTTTAAAGGTTGTTTTTTTTTTTTTTGGTGGCAGTACATATGCACAATAAAAACGCTTACATATTTTTAGCAGGATTATGTTAAATTATTTTGTCTTAATTATTGCATTTCAACAAAGCATTATTGAATGTTTGATAATTATTCTTAATATAATATTTATTGATTAGTGCGAAAAAGGACATACAATGCGAGTCATGGTTGCTATCTCGGTGCGAACCAGTTGTATTTGGTTGTTTGATCGACGTATGCGAAGTCGATGCTAAAGGGAAAAGAGATTAACAGTTAGGCAAAATACAAGGAAAACAACTAAAAGAAATTGAAAGTTAGAAATAGGCAAATATACTGGGAAAGGTAACTTAAAAATATCCTTAAAAAAATATAATCTAACAATATATAGGTAAGAAGAAAATCTACAACAAAATTATAATTCTATTACATACATATAACATTAAACCTAGAATTATATTTGTATTTAGAAGAATATCTAGTCATTAGATGAGAAGAATAACAACAAAGTTTGTTCCAGAAATAATAATAAACAAAGGTATATTATAGATTAAAAGCTATAAGCACAACATAATCTGTTATCAAAAAGAAGGGAGCATATAATGCACTATATATTTTCAAACATATAACATTATACAATTGCACTCTATCAAGAAGAAAGACAAATATTTACCTTGGAAAAATTACAATAAAAAAAAAAAAAAAAATCAAAAGCCCATTTAATACCATGCAAAGCAATGCCGGTCAGCCAAGCTGTGTAAAATTTAAGAGTTTAAGGTGATCAAAATGCAAACAACATAATTTATTACAATCATTAAAGTTTGTACCAGGGATAACATAATACCTGAATCTTATTCATATTATTAGGGAATGGTTTACCTGAGTCGCTGATAACTGTTCTATGTACAGCATGAAGCAAGGGATTGAAGAAGAGAAAACAAGATAAAAAATTTTACATAATTATGAACACAAACTACATGATTTTCAACACATTCAGTAAAACAGCATAATGATGATGAGGCACCCTGACAAGAAATGAATTCAGAATTTAAGCATATGAAGCTAATCTACATCTAATCTGTCTCTTTAGATTTCTATATTTGCTGAGATTCAATTTCTTTATTCATAATGTTATTTTTTCACACACATTTTTATCACACTGTAGTAGATAGACAGGCACTGGTTTGAGTCCTTGGGCTTTTAATATGCAGAGCCACTGAGAAAAGCTTTGGGCCTTCGGGGCAGTGCAACTGCCATAACTCAAATGGAAAAGAGTTCTGGGCTGCCTAGGCACTTTGCCAGCTGTACCCTTCCTTCCTCTCAGTGCTACTGCATATCATATCACCATTATGGATTATACACTTTGGAGGTATAGTATTTAGGTGCACATCCATGTTGTAGCACCATGTCGTACATTAAATGAACCTTTTCGTCAAGCCCCACCGCAGCTGCTAAGCTCCCACAAAATGGCAATAGGCAGCTTTTGATTGCACGACGGTAAAACGTAGAATGTAATGACGTCAATAAAAGTCATCTGCGTATGCAAGAACGTTAAGTTCGTGTGGATGCTAGGACGCAATTTGGCCAAACATATGTATGCAGAGAACATAGGACACCCAGTAGGATGGTCAAGCATGAGTGATTCCATTCTAGAGTCACATCAAATCGATAGCTCCCTAGTGTCAATGACTTTGCAAGCACATGCATTTTTAAGACAAGTGTGCTTGTGATAACTTGCGTAGACTCCTGACCCATTCTGATTGGTTAGTTGTTAAGCTTGATCGACACTCCAGAAAGATCTATTACACGATATCATGCACTGGAGTAGACAGTTACACCGTTCGGACTGACACACAAGAAATTCTCATCATTTTTCATCGTATTGTGCTGAAATCTAACCCTACAATTATTATTATCACTTCGTATATTACGCACAGCTTTCAGCTGTTTTAACTTTGAAGTTGTGATTAACTTTTTTGGCATCGGAAATTTATACGATCCAATATTTGGAATTTCAGTAGTCACTTCATGCTCAGTCCTGTTAAACACAGTATAAGCTTTTACCACATTTGTTTTCTTTTTCTGTGATTTCTTATTAGCTAAAGCATCATGAAAACTGGACGTTAAGTCCAATTTTGAGTGCTCTTCGACTCTCACATCATTGTTTACATCCGATAATGAAGTTGTTTTCGTTAATTTGATAATTTCATCTGTAGTACCTGCAAGCTTTTTCTGCACCTCCTCTAAACTTGTGGTTGACTTGCTCATTTGTGCTTCCTTCATATCCCTGCTTTCTCTGCCTGCTTTAGACTCCTTCATGATTTTTGTTCTTTCCGTATGCAGTCTCATTGAATCCGGGTTGCGGTAAGTAAACATGTTCGCAGTGCTTTTCTGTCGGGATAGATAACCTGGTTTCTTGATTGCGGTTCCCTCAACTGATAAATTCATCCCAATATAAGGTGGGGCAGAACCTTGAGGCTGTTTAGAATATGAAAATACAAAAATAATATAATGTTTTAATACTCATTTTGTAGTGGTACGCCCTCAGATACGAACTATTTAAATTACACAAATCAGCAGTGATGTTGGAGTGACATACATAAATAGCCAGAACTATTGCCATTGTTCGTTCAATTAAAGACCAACTAAGGCAACGTCGTACGACACAGCCCGATGCGATTTTTTTGTCACATCATATCTGCGTTGTAAAATATTAAATATCACGTTGGCCTGCATCGTTAGAACACCCCATGCAAATAATAGAACCATCCGTTACACACTACTTCTCTTAGAAGGTGTTAATCATTGTAAGTACTAAACTGGAAAATCAGAATGAAAATATATTTTCCCAGCCGTAGTCAGAAAAAAATAAATAAAACAGTTCCTAATTTTTTGCGTTCACCATTAAGTTGGCAGCCAATTTAATGAATTCATAGCCAAAATCTGGAGCGTTTTGATTCACGTCTCCAAGATGATCACTTGCTTAAGCAATCAAATGTGGCAAAGACAGGGCAAACCAGTCACTCGTCACAAATAGTGTTTCAGAGACACTGGCCAAAACTAACCTTTATTATATCTACAGTATACATCATGATATCCTATTAATTTCCCCATTTTCAAAATTGTTTTTAAAGTAAAGTTCTTGTGTATTGCTTTAATATTTATGAAATAATGTTTTCATGCAATAGGGCACAATTGCAGGACCAATACTACAATTACAGGACCAATACTATATTGTGCAACAATTCATTTTTTGTGAATCCATAAAAATTTTGACCTACCTGCTTAAATGCAAGTTCAAAGTGTCCTGTGTCGCATGACTTATCTTGACGCCTGTCTAACACAATTTTCATGGTATCCTCGATAACATCAAAGCACATCTGTTCTGTGATCTTCGTTGTTGCTCCCATTGCAGGACTCGAGTTGATCTCAATTAACCAGGGTTTGAAGTCTTCGGTCAACATGAAATCTGCACCATATACCTCAAAGGAATGCTGTAAATCAATAACAATTATAGACTCTGTTGAAGTTGAATGAACGGATGGATGAATTTATTGGGTGTAAACACCAAGAATAACCAACAAAAGTCTCAAGAAGACATTTCCAGTGGGATCCTTCTGGTGGTGATTGGGCTGTACACCGGGAGACAATTCCAAACTCTTTCTGAAAAGTGTACTGCCTTCTTTAACATGCACACAGGCCATAATGCACGTAGTGGGTCAGTGGGTCATTGTGAATAGCATTGCAGCCCTTCAGCTAAAACACAAGGAGAGCAGCGAAAGGAATTGAACTGCGGACTTATATCTCTCCACAGTGGCTACCACCAATTTAAGCAACATCATCATGAACTTAACCTTATCTAAAAGCATCTTGAGGCTTTAACTAAACTGAAGTCACCCCTACCCACCCTTCTGCAACTTGACTGATCGATTGACATTATCTGGCCTTTGGAAACTTTGGAAGCACTTGTGAGCAAAACATTGTGAGTCGCGAGATTTGTATGAGCACTCCTTGCGATTGAAGTCACCTAATAATCGCAAATTGCTTTCAGTTGCCCATATTCTTTTAGGGTTCCACTGAAAGTCACCTACCTTTCTTGGCTCCACAATATCCTGAGCACAAAGGAGCGCATCAACAATCGCTCTCTTCATGCCTGGATAAACCAAGTCCATCCAGACGTTGCCACAATCCCTCTCCTCCAGATACTCAATGAACTGAGTATTAGTCCACATGTTGTCCTCAGGCAGTTCGGAGCAGCGTGTTGGATTGTTAGTGTAGTGCTTCTGTACCGACTGGTTAGACAGGTGAATCGCACTGTTTGGAAGACAAATTTATTGAATTACATTCAATGAAAGCCTTTGAAGCAGGGGTAAGATGACAGCTACTAGGTAATGCATGCCTTACTGACGTGTAATGTTTCATTTCATGTATTTGCATACAGACTAACAGTGAATCACCACCACTAACAGACTGGTATAAAACTTGACTTGCGAAACAGACATGGATTTACATTCGGAAACATTCCAAGACAAGCCCCAGTGACCACTCCATGCAACGGAAGTTTCAAGATCTGATATTGCACAGTACTAATTATTAAACTTACGTATCAAAGTCATCCAGCGTATATGGCTGTGTACAAAACCTCAAATAACAATCCTTATAGAACCAAACAGTCAATGCATTCCAATCCGTCACTAAGAACCACTGCCGAATATCAAACTTTGTATTGTAGACCAATAGAGGGCGCTCTATATACTTCTGAACAACCCACTTTCCTTCCTTTTGAACTATAGGATTCCCTACTAGCTTTACGATGTCTTCTAGTCGATTCATACACATTATTCCTGAGACAAAATAAAATATCAATGAATCAATGATGAATGTTGATAAAGTAAGAAACAAGAACAAAATTCTGCACTCAACACAACATTCTCTTATTCTCTTATTGAACAAAAGTTTAAGCTTTGTTTTGTTTCAATACTCGGATAAGAGAAATCATAATTATTTGTTTGTATCTTGGTATTTGCACAAAAATATCCTTGTTAAAGCTCTTACTATAAAGGTCATTTCCATCACTTAAAATTCCTCGATATCAACACACACAACCGTTTCATGTGGAGTAAAAAGATGCCGCATACCTCATCTTGGTAATCAGACAATCAACCAATGATAAGATAACTATCTCGACTTTCAGTAGAAACACATCCATGAGGTCGCAGAGTTTTGAGTATGTACTTCGTTCTTATGCTTTCACAAAATATATAATTTGTTTACCTCTCCCTCGTGATTTTGCTCCGGGCTTGATAATCCATACATTCTTAACTCCATCCAAGTCAATCTGTGGTAAGTAATTCCTGAGACGGTTGAGCAAGGCCTGGCTATAATCAATGTGTTGGCTTGCCTCGCTTATAATGCCATCATCACTATTTCATTTATAAAATACAATAGAAAGATTACTACGCTGGTACATACCAATTATTGATAAGCAATTCTAAATGGTAATGTTACGATAGTTTTACATTTAGTAGAAAAATACTATATACATGGAAAAGGGAATAGCACAATAAACAAGGAGCATAGTCAAAAAAAGGCATATTGAGTCATTAAATGAATGGATTTAATAAGCTTGTAGTGTATCAATAACACAGTAAACCAAATAAGAACAAAGTCATAACTCAAATTATCAATCTGAGCATTTAATGTAAAACAGAAACATAGATTTTAGTGTATTTTGTTGGTTTGGATTAAATTTATTCGGAGTGAAATACACCATAGCCCACAAGTTTGAAGACTTGTTTTTCCAATGGGATCCTTCTGTTGGTAAATGAGGCTTGGCATTTCAAAACAAGCGTAATGTCGCTATTTGTTAAACTGAGTAACAAGCATAATAATGTGGCAGTACAGCATTGCATACTTTAGGATTAGATTTGGATTGGATTTATTCAGTGTAAACACCACAGTATTGCATACTTTAGGATTAGATTTGGATTGGATTTATTCGGTGTAAACACCAAGGATAGCCCACGAAAATCTAGAAGACTTATTTCCAGTGGGGTCCTTCTGGTGGTGATTGGGCAGTACACTGGGAGACAATCCCCTACACTTTTCCGAAGAGTGTACTGCGTTCTTTAACGTGCACATAATGCTATAATGCACAAGGGACCAACGGCTTAAATGTCTCATCCGAAAGACGATGCGATATTGTAACTTGTATTTCAGCCCTCTAGCTGAAACACAAGGAGAGGCAGCGATGGAAATTGAACTGGGGACCTAGAGATCTAGTACAGAGAAGCTGTAATACTTTTACTCATAACTTTGGCAATTCCAGTGAATGACCCATCATTTTAAAGCTTGCAATGTGGAGAATGAACTTGAATGAACTATATATATACTGTCTCTTATACACATCTAGATGTGTATAAGAGACAGCATCATGATATCCTATTAATTTCCCCATTTTCAAAATTGTTTTTAAAGTAAAGTTCTTGTGTATTGCTTTAATATTTATGAAATAATGTTTTCATGCAATAGGGCACAAAATACAATACCTGTCTCTTATACACATCTAGATGTGTATAAGAGACAGGTACAATAGGAGACAATCTCAAACTCTGTGTGTGTGTACTGACATTATTCAACTTGAACATGGTCCTTATAGCACACATGTTCATTAGTTTAACGCCTCATTCTGAAGGCGGTGTACTATCAAGATTTGCAATTTAGCCCCTCCAGCTAAAGGACAGCAGCAGATGGTAATGAATTGCGGAAAATTGTATACACTCACGAAATGCATTTATAAATTCTGACAGAATTATTGAAAAACATCAGTCAAATTTCACACCAAATTGATTTAAAAAAAAAAATTAAATGTTTTGAAACTCACAATATTAATTGATAGTACTGTAGTATAAAATCTTCCCATTCTTTAGCTGTTAAAACTGGTGGGGTATCCAGTCCAATATCTATATCTTCGTGGTCACGTTCTCCTAAAAATGTCTCAACGACTTTCTGAGCCGTCTCTACCAAGGCAGGCTGTAAGACCTTTTTCTCTTCTTTCTTTTTAGTTTTTGGTGATTGCACTAAAAATAAAGAAGGCACAATTTACTGCAACAAGTCTAATAAAAAATATTTTCATAGTTTATTGTAGTTAATTGTTTCTGTACCCCAGAAAATTATCAGATCAGATAAAACATTACATTTAGCATTACTAAAATGAAGAAGACATTCACTATTTATATCTTAAAATGCTTAATCAGATAAATACTACTTTAACACAATTAAAATGGAATTCACTATTAACATGTTAGAAAACTTCAACTCAAGGGGTCATCGCGCTGTGACCTCTACAAAATCTGTGCCCCAGTAAACACTAGGGAGCTTTCGATGGCACGAAGATGATAATGACGTTACTAAGAATCAGCTGCACGTGCGAAAATGATGAGTTCTTGAAGTCATTTATATTCTGGGACGCAGACTGCCCTGAATCTACATTGTGCTGAAAACGTAGGACAATCATAGATGAGTGAATCCATCCTAGCATCACATTGGAGCAAAAATCAAAAGTTGCCTTATGACAGAGCACCAATGCTTCCCATTGGCTGACTAAAGGAATTCAGGTTATGATTCATGTGAATATGCACAAATGGTGATAAAATAGCATATAGAATATGTAACAATAGCCACTGCCTTTTTTTTTCTTAGGCAGTCATTATGGTTACACCTCTTAAATTGCCAATTTTGATTGGATGATGTTGTATGTATGGATTGGATTTGACAATAAACATCCAATCAGAATTATGAATTCATTTAAAACTGGTGTAACAACAGCCTCTGCCATTTTCTTTTGCTCTGTTGCTTATGTGGCATGCAGATAGATTCACTCACAGATAGAATCTACATTTGCTTCCGACGAGCGATAGACAATGCAACGCCGTCTGCTGTTTGAGTGGCAATCTGAACGGATCCTCATTAAAAAGACAATCCATTGGGTCTGCGTCTTCGCATGCAGTTTTCGTCGTGTTGCGGTCGCGTCGTTGTCGCACACAGTGAGTAATCGGCTTTACTGTTAGTTTCAGCAAGGTTACGTTTCTTACCTTTAGGAGAGCATTTGCTGCTTTCATTTGTTTGAGGGTGTGGAGTGGCTTCGGGTGATTGACACTTTGCCTTTTCATCTAACATCATGTCTTCTAAATTTATATCTAGTTCACGGTTTTGTACGACCCATTTCAGTATACTTATTGCTGCTGTGAGTCTGTAATCGTCTGGAAACAAAAAATTGAAAACACTATTACATTTCAAAACAAACTGATAATTGGACATTTGTGTTCAACAAAACCAGACGCTTGTCTTCAAATCAGTTAAGATTTCCATGTATTGATATTAATTATGTTGGACTAAAAACGTAAATTACTTTTAATCATATCTTCTTCATTTGTTATCTGATTTTTACGATGTTTGCATAAATTATTAGCTGTTGACCTCTGGACTACAAGGATCTAATAATCTCATTTTTTATTTTTTGAGTAGGTCACATTTACATCCTAAAAAAAACCAAAAAAAAAACAACAACAAAAATATAAAAGATTCTTCACAAAACATTACAAAACACAACTTAAATACAATACAATGCAAAACTAGTAAATGCAGCCACACCTCCATAGCCAGTCATGGGGTCAAGAAACGAGCGTTGTGTCGCGGCCCTTTTCCTACCAATTCTTTCACCACTACACACAAGTATGCAATCATCGAGTTTTAGAGCTAAATTGACAACAGAGTATGAACCCATGTATGGACATGAAAAAAAGAATTCAAAATCACAGAGGTGTATTTTATCAGCAACAAAATCTTCACAAGTACAAGATGTTAGTGTACATGTACAGTGTTGTATCCAGGGATTCGAAATAGAGGGGGCCTAGAGAGTCATTTTACAAATGGAGCTTCACACCACCTCAGCCCCACCATGGCTTGGGCCGAGGTATACAATTTTATAATTATGGCACTTCTAGATGGCCAAAAATGTTATTCTCAGACAAAAAATATTGATGCAATTTTTTTTTTCCATTAAGAAAAAAAAATTCAATGTGGCCTGGGCCAGTTGTCCCCCTCTCCCTGAATCCGCCACTGGTGTGTGCATGTATTTTTTGGTGCAAGCCACTAACCTATAAAAGCAGTTCTTTCTTCATCATTGCACACTTTGTAACATCTAGGGAAGAACTCATCTGGATTAAGATTATCGAACCAATGTAAGTTGCGTAGATTTGTACATAGACCAACCTGCATAATAGAGGAAAAATGTCAACGTACTATGACATTCTAATAATGATAATTACAACCATAATAAAATTAACATAAACAAATGTCATTAAAAGGCAATTGTGGCAAAATTTCATTTCATTAATTTTTTTTTCCTCAAATTTCTCAAAAACAAAACAAAAATTACAATTTAAAATGGTGCTGAGAAGCTATTCCAAAAAAGTAAAGCAAATTACGAAGTTGGTCTCTACTTGTCCTATCCTGATTAAATACCAATTTGTACATTGTTCAGTATGTTGTTGTGCAAAATGCTTAAGAAACAAACAAGTTTACTATCAATCACACTCAAAGAAAGCACCATGTTAGCAAACAATATTAATAAATGATTAAATTGTTATACACTGTATTGAGTACAGAGCTTCATTGCTGTTTTGCTTTTTTTACCTTTGTAGTAAAAGATCCATTCTTTGCAAAATGATTAACGATTGTGTCTTTCCGTAGTAATTTGAAATCTATTGAATCCCTTCGACAAGTCCACATGAAGTTGGGAGTAGCATTGCGTACAACACGTGACTGAAAATAAAATGAAATATAAAATAAATTTGATTGAATAGCTGTTCTATAAACTAGTTGCAGCTACTCAATTATTATATGCTCTTATATATATTGCTGAGCTACAAGCGTTATAAAGAGGAGTGGTTATGGCCCAGAATCTCAACATTGAGGTCAGGTTTTGAAACACTGTGCATTTTTGTTGTGTCTTCGGGCAAGTTAATTTATCTATATTTTCTTTCTACAGCATTCCACAATCTGGCCCCAACTGCCATATAAAATGGCGTTGCTATTTAAGTTATTTACCATATTCACATGCTAATTGCCCATGTTTTGTGTATTGAAATAAATCTGTTGCATGATGAACCCGATGTGGATAGCTGTGTTTCTTACATCAACACCAAGAAAAAAGAGGTGGGAACTCTGTGATATGAACTCCACCGGTTTCGAATTCACCTTTACAAAAGAATATTTTATGTTCTTAAAGAGTGCATCAAGTTGGTGGGCATCTTAAAATATTTCTGTACATAATTATATGAAATAATTGAATCAATATGCTAAATATATTAAATTCATATAAGATACTATACTTCCCTTAATTTGTCTTAAAAAAATTAAAAAAAATTACAATAGCACATATTTCATAAATATTTAATTAATGATGAGTTAATTACCATTGTGCCATACAAGCCATCTGAGTCGCCTGGAAAATTTTCCTCATCATCACTATCACCATGACAACCATTATCCTGATCTTGATCATCTAGTAACAAAATAAAAAATATTCTATATTTATTTCTAATAGTATATGATTAACATGAATTCATGTGCAGCTTTTTTGACTTCTGAAAATAAATTTATGGAATTGCAAAATTTTAGAGGACATTGGGATTAACACCAAATACTGCCTCACGCTGCATTGGTCAATGAATCTATCTGCGCTCTGTGCGAGGGCTTGAGAACCCGATGCTGTCTGCTGAATGCATAGCAGCAGTCTGAGTAAATCGTTATTGAAAACGATCAACTACGCATCTTGACACGTTGCAGTCTCCACCCATTCGGATGATGCAGTGTGTGTCCAGCTTTAGATATTTCCAATCACGAAGTCCTAGCAGTTCACAACTGGGAAATATAACATTCTTCCCCAAAGCCAGAATCTAACTTCAGTCACTAATGAAGCTCTGTACACAACTTATGTGACAAATTTGTGCGCCTATATATGGGTATGATGATGTCATATTCTTCTTCTTATCGAGTTTATTTCATACTCCGTAGAGCCATGTCTATTTTGGTCTAAAAACATGACATTAGGATTCTTGCGTGGTGAAAGGATTGGTAGGAACAGGGCCGCGATGTGAACGCTCCTTTCTGTCATATTATACCCAAATATGGGCATATCACATTTATTTGTCACATAAATTAGATCGTGTAGACAGCGTTTAAGACCTTAGCTGAGCAGCTTCGCTGGATGAACTATCCTTAAGTACCGTTATAAATCCAAAACTTACCATCATTATCTGAGTCGTCAGAATCGTAATCGCTGGTTGCGGTTTTCTTTGCCTTGTGAGAGTGTGGAGCCATGCTGCGATACTGCTTCTCAACCCACTCACGATTCCTCAAACACTCACGGACAACAGGGTATGGGCCTTGAATTGAGAATACCTTCTTCAACTGAATCAGAAAAGTACGGTTATTATTCGTTAGTAATTTACTTTATTAAGTACATCAAACAGTATACAATAGAAAACAAAGAGATCCTACTCCTGTTTGTAAGTACATCATTTCTCCAGCGACGATGGAAGTCTTATTGTCCGGTTGAAGTGCGCCTCCACACAAAACAATGGCCGTATTCAACTGGTCATTCTTCGTTAAACCACGCCCACCTGCGCAGTGGTAAAATCGTACTTAACAAAGACGACCAGTCGAATAGAAAACTGGTAAATACTCGACAAAACAAAATGGCTGCATAGTAACAATGATCTATTGCCCTCTGCGAAAGAATTGTATCTAGCAGTGGGAAATAGATTAAGAAACCATGTAAGCCTCTACTGGGTAACTAGAAGTGACAGCCCGCCACACCGGGTGTCATCCCATAGCTGCGTATAAGAGCGTATTGTTTGTTCACGCACACAACAAGCGTACTATGCTCTCTTACCCTTCTGTACTCTTTGCTTGAACCTTTTCATCCTCACGGGGACATATATAACACCTATACTATATTATTACTACAACATTTTCTATAGTACCTTAATTGCTTTTTCTGCACAAATTTTTGCAGTTTGCATCTTGTCGAATGTGAGAGAACCACTGTTGCTTAGTCGTTTCAGGTTATACTTTGACCTCCTTGGGCTCATTTCAGGAGATGATGCTGTTTTACTTCGGACATGCTGGTTAGTGCTGCACGCATTCTCGGTGTCTGTAAAAAAAATACCGTCAAATGTTATTTTGAAGAGTTATGAAGACAAAATATGGCTTTCGGTAAAGAAATTTATGAAAAATAGCTGAAATTTGTTACGGTCAATCCAGACAGCATTGTACGATGCAGCTCAAAACATTAGACCTTACTAAACGTGTCAATCAAACTTAACAACAGAACAAAAACATGTGTTGCCCCACAAAATGCATGTGTTATTTGATACTGTCCTTTTGTTGACCTTAGCAACAGTATCCAAGGGGTGGAGCTTAGTGGAAAGGTCTACTTATCATTGGGGACAGCCTTAGGTCATGGTAAGAATATTAAGCAAGAGTATTAAGTGTTTAATATTCTACAAGGAGACTGTCTACGAAGCAGTCCCAGGACAACTTATTGAATCGTATCTTAGTTTAACTCACACAACCCACATGATGATAAATAGTATTTGGCTATGTCATTTGACACTGTCGGAGTTGGCCTTATGTTGGGTTGCTCTAACTATTAAGCACCAAAAAATACATGTACATCTTGAAAAAAAAAACAGCAAATCATATGTAAATTGCTTATTAACTATTCTACTGTAATTGTCTTCCGAATTAAACATTTGCATGCTTACCTGTGCATGCTCACCTGTTATGCCCAACTGTACATGCTCACCTGTAATGCCTACCTGTGCATGCTCACCTGTTATGCCCACCTGTGCATGCTCATCTGTAATGCCTACCTATGCATGCTCACCTGTGCATATCATTTGTTTGTGTCCATCTGTGCATGCCCATTTATGTATAACTAACCTGTGCATGTCAAACCTGTTTGTGTTTACCTGTGTGCGACCACCTATGCATAGCCACTAGTGCTTTAGTCACTTGTGCATGCACATTTTGAAGTCTAATCCTTACCTTCTGGAGGGTGGGTGGTACTCCTTTTATGAAATCCTGAAGGGTTTGTTTTTGGTAAGACTGGTTTTTGTTTCTTCATTGCACTTGATGACCCAGTAGATGAGTAGGGACCTGTCAAAATGTTCATAAATTTGCATAAATTACAAATGGTTATGAACTCAGTTCTATACAGCATGGAAGTACTGTATCAGACATAGCGTAAAATTGGAACAGTGGCCCACTTCATTTTTCAATTGATTTTTCCTTTCAATTTCAGTCTGTCTGATTTTACATCTACTGATGGTACATAGTACCATCTGCCAAATTATAAATAAATATGATTACATAATTCAGATAATTAATTATTATAATATATTCCTTTATAATTTCCAACCATGTTCATAACTTAAGCAGACAGAAAATAAAATTACATTTTATTCACTACTGCTGAATATTAACAGAATTTTCAGTGATAATCGATAGAACAGATGTCTAAAAAATGGTTTAAATAAAAAATAGTTAATATTCCTGGGGCATTATCGGGTGGTTAGCCTATTATTATGCTAAAATTATTAATTAACATATTTTGTTATTGCATTATTATTCAAACCCTACCTTCTGTTAGCCTTTGAAGCTGATGCTTGGAAGACCTTACTGGGTTTAACATATTGGAATGCATGGAGACAGAGCCGACAATTCCGACTTTAACGCCATCTAGATCGGTGTGTTTTCTTCCGCAGTCGAGAATGTTTGGGGTTGAATTGGGAGTGCCCCAAGCTAACTGCTGAGAACTGTTGACATTCTGAAGATAAAAAAAAATACAGTGACTGTATGAACTCATGTTTTTTATTCCACAATGAAATTAAATAGAGAGCGATGAACCGTAGGAAATATGAAGGCATGTACGAATGAGCATCTTCAAGACTCCATGAATTTCTCCATGTGTATTTAAGCTTATAAAAACTGTAATCTTTGAGTAAATTTAATTTTCAGTGAATATATCTATTAAAATCTTCAGAAACACACCACACAGTATACTGTACTGTGTAAAAATAATGACCAAAGCACAGTGACATCCTAATTTTCTGCTATAATAAAGCAGAATAAAAATCTGAGTAAAATAACACTATAGAACATCAAATAAAACTGGATGCCATTTAAGAATTGACTAGGATTTACTACAGACTCATTTTAAATGAAAATGAACACAACTCACATTTAACAACAAAATCCAGCACCACCATGGTCTCTAATCTAATGGTGAAATACAGAGACTAAACGCACACTGGGTGGGGAAATATAACGAGATGCTGCCTCAAAACAGAATAACAAAAACGAGTAGGCAGCAAACGACTTCTAGTGAACAGTGAGTGGAAAGCCGCTAGCCAATGCAAGGCTTGGTTAATGAAATGAATTCTAAATGATGCACACTGCAGCTTTCTCAGCTGGATGACTCATAGACAGGCAATCAGACAGCATAACCGCAACCAGCACAATGCAAATATCACATCACATTGTGATAATGAACGCTTAAAAATTATATTCTGTCTCTAGTATAAGCCCATCCCTTAAGACATAATGGTATGGCCTTTTACTCTGTACTCACAAAAGATGCAAAAAAACATGTGACTAGGTTTTAAGAAATAAATTAAAATACAATGTTTCCATAGTATAAGCCCAAACCAATATATAATGGGGTGAGCATTTACTAAAACAAATACATCCAAACAAAAAAATGAATTTATTAATTATAATTTAAGAATTTTATTACTATGAAGCACACTTTGTAGAATTAGTTTTAAAAAAAGCTAATCGGTGAGCTTATTATTGGGGGGGGGGGAATATTTTGTATGAAAAATTAGTGAAAAGTTGGGCTTGTATATGAGGCAGGTCTTAAAGTAATGCATTTTATATTATGTTAAATCAAGGGCATTCTGTAAACATTATAAAAAATGTGCTTGCATTCATTAAAAATTAATTTCATGCAAAAATTCTGATTTGCAGGGGAATGGTGCGGTGGTGTTTGAATCCACTTCGTTTTTTTTTTCTTTTTGGGTTTGTCCTTGGTTAGTGTACTTCTTGTTTCAGAAACTAGATAAATTTGTCAACAATTTACTGTAACACTTAAAGCGTTCTTATCTTAATAAAATAGCACTATAATCAAATTAAAGTCGCATTATTATTATTTCGTTAAACTCAGAAATTATTAATAACAAACTGAAGAGCGGTTCTTTTCTTTAAGCCTTCTCATTTTTAATTTGATTACAATTTTATTACTATTATATTGCCTTAGCAAATAGATTTGTAGTTACAAATTGATTTTCTAAAACACTGAAAACACTGAAAGAAATTAATTTTATAGAAGAATTCTATTTCTTTAAACTCAGTAATTATTAATAAGCTGAAGAGCAGTTCTTTTCTTCAAGCTTTCTCATTTTGATTTTGTTTATTACTATTATATTGCCTATAGCAAATAGCATTGTATTTTAAATAACTTGTACTACTCGTTAATCCACAGCTGTATGTCATTTACCTTTAAAACCCTTATAGTGCTCCCTTTTTGAATGATTTTATATGATAGGAAGATTTCTTAATCACAAGGAAGATTTCTTAATCACAATGCTGTTTGAGGTGTTATTCATTATTATTTTCCATTAATAAAACATAAGAGAAAAATGACAAGCAATACAGTACTTAAACAGATGGAGGAGATGTGTAACTAAAACCATAAACGGTTGTAGATTATAAATCAAGACCTAATTTAGCTCTCTCTCAGTTTCTGACAGACGATGGAAGACTAGAGAAAAACGTGTTAAGACTTCGTACATTTTCTTTCAGGGCTAATTAATAAGATCAATTCCGCAGCCACAGATCCTGTAGACTGGCAAGTGCTTAAAAAAGGTTGATTTTGATCATGGGTACGTTTCTGTAAATTTACAATCGTAAGTTGATTATCTGACTTATTATGCACAAGTTTCCAAAAATATGGAATATGTAAAAAACAATTCAGTTTGTTTATACGCATAAAAGTGTACCATCTTTTTCAATTCAGCATTCTCCTGAAAGCTGCGGCCAATTAAATTACTTGCTTCTAACCATCTGTTTCAAGTTTAGTCCCGAAACCTTTATTTGAAAATACAGGGATGGTGTTCGGTGGAGGATAGTTTTACTTCCAGTTTAAGTTTCAGGTAAAGATTAGTTTTAGTTTTAGTTGAGATGTCCTGGATATGAAGTTAAAATGTACGCACTCGAGCCGACGGTGACAAACTGGAAAGCCCACACAGTACGGCCTTAGCGGCATTTTGGTGGGCAGGTGGATGGTCACCCGCAGCAGCAATAAAAAAAATAGCTGAACAAAGGGTGGATGAGCTCATCAGAGTCAACAGCCAAACCATGCTTAGTTTATAGAGTAAAATTAGTCTGTCTTTAGGATTAGATTATACTTTCTTATTTTTTCATGTTTATGTTAAGTGCATAGAGGTCTCCAAAATATGTGCTCTATAAAGTCGACCATATTATTATAAAATAAACATATACTGAAAGTTGATTTTTCCCTTGTCAGTTTGTTTCACTTCAGTTATCTTGCATAAATAAAAGTGAAGGCTTACTGTGTGAAAGCCTGCAAGAGCATCAGTTTTATTTATTGCACCATTTATTTAGAAAAAGTACCTGTTGGTCGTAAAAATGTGCATCTTAAAATACAATTTTTTTTTTTTACAAATTACCTGCAGTGTGTTGCTTACCTCTTTCTCCTTTTGTTTCTTTACTCGATGAAGTGTCACTGGTGATAATCTGGCTCTGAATGGTGGAACTTTACTTTGTTCAATCTGGAGAATTTCAATTTTTTTTTAAATAGGCAAAATTAAAATTACAGTATATGTTTTGCAGAGGTTAAAAAAAATTCAAACATCATGTCTAGGAAATGACACTAAAGGTTAAAGTAAGCAAAACCTAATTTTTGGCAAAATCTATGCAGAAATCGGCCGGTATTCTCCTAAATTTGCGGACAGATTTATAGGCCAAATTTTTGGGATAAATGTACTTTTTATAGTTAGCATATAAGTACTGTAATTTCATTCTCCAAACTAGCCTAACCCTCTGTTCCACTGGGGTTGTCTGACCCCATACCAGGTCATTCAGATCGGGGTCTTCATTAGGCCACGAGAAAGATCGATTTGACCCGTAAATGACCTCAGCAGTGATCGGCGATCATGGTGCGATGTGGCCAGGCCTGCCTTCGCTCGGTGTTCGCGACGAGTGATCAGTGATGAATAGATCGTTTTTCTGTCTGTTTACGGCTTAGAAAGTCCATTTTTTAAAACGAAGTATATTTTTTTTCAAAATAATGAACTTTTCAAAATAATGAAAATTTTCGTGCGGTAGCTTTTTAGGCATGCGGCGGTGGACGCAAACCTACAACTTTCATTCCCGTGGCCTTAAAAAAAGATGCAAAATTTGTGAATTTTGTAACAATGCAGGAACAGCAATAAATAAAAGGGGGAACAAGTGAGGGTCAGGTGTTGTGGACAGGCTGACTTGCATTCAAATTCTTGTCCACTTTGTTGACTTACCAATTGCCTCTGCTTTTGTAGGTGGAGTTCCTGTCTGGCCATGAATGTTGTTCCAAGGTTTTCTGCAATTCTTACGCTAGTTGAGCTCATACGTGGCTTAAAACTAAAATCAAGATTTGGAGTGGAATTAACTGCACGATTTACCACTGCTGGCACAGCACCAACAGAGGAGACCAAACGTTGTTGTTCGGGATTGTATTTTGACTGTCTCTCCTTTGCCAATCGAATACTTGTGGCATTTAGTTTTGGTGCAAATGTTAACTCAGTTTCAAAAGTAAATCTGTTGTGTGCAGTTATAACACCACTCGAACGCGCAGAATCTGATCCAGTTTTCACCTTCATCATTGCAACCCCAAGCCAAGGCCCACAGGCCTGGTGGTTAGGCTACAACAATAACAATGGTCCCGGGGCAAAAGCCGCGATACTCGTGTGTTAATGTTTTGATCAATGCCCTGCTGCTGACAAGTTTTTTTAGCGACAGGATCTGGTTGGATTTGTGCTACCATTCCAATGACCTGGATACATTTTCCATGAATTTTACAGGAAATATATCCAATTAAATTTACACTTCGTCCACCATGATTCCTTCTCCAATGTACCACTTTATACCAAGAAACAAACCTTTTCAGCTAGCTAAGTCGTAGCCTTGCTGCTAAAGTTTCACTGCCAAAATCCAATAACATCGTGTGTATCACCATGGACGCGGATAAACGTATGCATAATTCATGAGCTATTATGACGATAAATTGTGTAACGATGCTGCCTACCGTTTACACATGAATCAATATCACCTTGAATTGATACCATGGGTTTTATTATTGTCCTGATTATTTGGTTGGCATAGCCCATAATGGATTATATTAGTCTACCGTACAAGTATTTTTATGTAAATACAGTGGTTGGTATGGGCGTATGCTGACGATAAGATGGTCTACAGTTGAGCGAATTAATGCTCTTGAGAGAAAATCAGTCGTGATTATCGAAGCTGTAGAAACTATGACTGTCTGTTTATACTGCGGCTAATAAACTTAAACAACATAAATACTAATTCCTCCATGATGTATTAATTTACAGTACTTACTTTCGTACATTTAAAGACATTCTGTGTTAAGCTATAAACTTGAAATATACAATTTAACTTGTTTACTTTATACTGTACATATGGATATATCAGCCACGGGAAAACAATTGAAAATCAGCGAGAATAACTGCACCAATATACAACAGGCGTACATCAGACCCTTAAATCAGCAGATGAAAAAAAGTAGGATATTTGTAATTAAAATATATTTTCTTGTTTTTTTTTTAAAATGTATTTATTGTTGGGGGGGGGGCTATCCAAAGTCAGCCCGGTGTTTTCTGGAATACTGTGGCAAAGGTCAAATATATCATGAATGTTAATATTTTTTGAAAACGGTTTTTATTGTGTAAAACAGTGTGCATCTAAACATCGAGTACTTTTTAATATGAATTGTTTAGTGAGAACCAAAATTTTGGCAAGAAAGCCATGATGTGCATATAGGCCTATATGGACATGATGTGATGTCATTATGACCATATTTGAGGCATGTCACATGATTTTGTCAAATAACAACATGGTCTGTTATATTCAAAAGAAATCTGTAGATTTCCAGTGAGATTTCGAGGGAAAAGACTAAAACGGTATCTAGTAGGCCTAATATTTTGTTAGTTTGCAATATTTTAATTGGGTATATCGAAACATTGGTGTGAATGGAACAGTGGCGGATCCAGAAATCCAATAGAGGGAGCACGGGGAAGTACTTTCACAGATGGAGGATATACCACCTCAGCCAACACCTTGTTTGGGGCTGAGGTAAGAACAATTTTTTATTATGGCACCTTTAGATGGCCGAAAATTGCACTCTTAGACTAAAAAATGTGAATATAATTTTCTTTATATTTCCATTTAAAAATATTTTAAACAATTTAGGAAGTGGAGGTGGCTGGGAGAGCTCAACCGGCTAAGCTGGTAGTAGCCACTGTGTGTGCGCTGAACCCCGGTGCAATTCCCATCGCTGCCTCTCCTTATGTTTCAGTTAGAGGGCTGAAATACAAGTTACAATAGCGCACCGTCTACACCGTTTACACCGAATAAATCCAATCCAATCCACCCTCACTTGATTCCCACTGTGAAAGAAGAAATGGAAATAATGGTTATTCATGTTAAGAATAAAGAGTGCAGCGTACCAACATTGCTCAACAGAGGGCCTAAACTGTGCACGATGTGTCCGCTGATTTTTTTAAACCACATTTATAATAGAGGGTACCGGTACCCTTCCAGCATATTCTAAAAGGTCCTAATATGAAATAACATAATATTTTATCTGCGCAGTCGTATACGAGGCTTCGGGAATGGAGATGTATCTTAAACAGCGTGACCACTGCTTGGGTATTTACCCAAGATCTTGGGTATTTTGACTTGGTCTGGGGTTCTTGGGTATTCCGTTCAAATCCTATTGGGTATTTTATACTAAGAAAATTTAATATTTTTGACATAGAGGAAGAATTAAGAAGTAACAAAGTATATTTTAGTCCATTCAAGTAAGCAAAACTCAACGAAGTGCACATAACATTGTTAACTGACTGTTAATTGCTATAAAAATGGGTTCAGAATTGTTTATTTGTGATTTGCGTTATAGTAAAACTTGATCACTGATAAAATTTGCGTTATAGTTAAACTTGATCGCTGATAACACTGGCCGACTGAGGGCGTATTTTCACCTCATGAATATTAATTTTAATAATTAACACAAACAATTACAATAAAAAATAATTTATAAATTGAACTAAAAGGGAAACTATACATGCGAAAAACATGTATTTTTCAAATTTTAATGCATTTTCAGGAAGCTTGGGTAATTTTGGGCAATTTTTGCTGAATCTTGGGTAATTTCGACCCAGTCATTGGGTATATAAAAAAATTGTGAGTGGTCGACACGCTGATCTTAAAGTCGTGAGAAAGGTCCTTTTCTGTCACTGAGGATTTTAACCCAAAACCAGCGAGATCGAGGCAAGCATCCTAACCAACAAGGACATCCTAGTTTCATGTTTCTAGAAGGGCTGATCATGCTAGGGAGAGAATACATTTAATTTGCACGTCGTCAAATAATCATGGTAATCACCATCACCAACATTTATAATCATCATCATCATCATCGTGTTACCATTATCATCATCATGGTCATCATCATCATGAGATTAAACCATTATCATCGTCGTCATTATCATCATTGTCATATTTTTTAAAGAACACACTGGGGATAAACTAATATCCAAATCCATATTATCGCAACAATCTTTACTGCCTGAGGGCGCTGTACATATAATTCTCTCAGTACCACTGAGAACACTCGCATTCGATCAGTTCAATTCAATAAGACATATTTACTTCCATTGCAGAC